GGGTGCAGCTTCTCCTAAAAATAAAAAAAAATAAATAAAATCTAACCCAGTGTATCATTTGGGCTCTCTTCCCCCCCCCAAAAGTAGACCCTTTTAAATAGGGACGGAATTTGGTTCTCTTCTTGCAGAAGGAAGAGGCCTTCAAAAGCCCCCCCCAAATATATATATATATATATATTGAGAGACAATGAACAGAAGGAAAAAAACCACGCCATCGGCAATCACTAACGCCTTTCCAAATGGGAAATTAAGCTTGTTGCATCTCAGGAACCAAAGCGCACGTATTTCCCCCAGCTTCCATTAATAAACCCACGATAATTCCATTGGTCAATAAACAAATCCATAAAATATTTAAATGTATCATGTTAATCAAGGGAAATAGAGAGGGGATGGTGAAATGTATTGAGTTGACTTGTTTCTATATGTGTTTACTTTTGAATGTTGGACCACCCAACCACCACGGTGGGTCCTGAGTACTTTTTCTTAAGAATTAAAAAAAACAACAACAATAAAATGTGATAAATACAATAAACAAATCCATAAAATGCTTTTTTGTTCCCCCCACCATTCAGTCAGAACTGAAGATGCTTCTTGGACGAGAAGCGAAACGTCTTCAAAGAGGGGAGGGGAGAAAGACACAGAAAAAGGCGAGCTACCTTTTGGGAAAGAAAAGAGGAAAAAAAAAGCACTTTGGGGGATATTTCCCCCTTGTTTTTCTCACTCTCTTTTAAGGTTTTGACTTCCTTTTTCAATCAGCCTTTCCCGCCAGAGACGGTAAACCCACAATACTTGTTAGAAAGGACTAACATATTCTTCCAAGGATGAGCCCATGATGCTAGCTTATCCTGGACACCCCTTTAGGACCGTGTTTACCAAGGCCAGGGTTTATTTAAGTTTTCCAAAGAGTTTGCTCTCTCTTGGTGATCCAGCCAGAAAGAGACGGTCAGAATCCATAGCCAGCCACGTTTTTTTGCAAACCAGGAAAATAAGCTGAGTTGGCATTTTTTGCAGGCTAAAAAACAAGCCAGCATTGCGGGATTGAATGGCAGAAATGGAAAAATATTTCCACTCATGTACAGTACATAGACTAGAAATTTCCACTCATGTACAGTACGTAGACTAAGCTAGAAATTCATTGGCGGTATTATTGTGGCTGCATTCCGATGCAACGATACATCAGAATATCCTGCTAATAATATCTTGGTAATAATCCTATTATCCTCCTTTTTTTATGACTGTAGCCCACATTTTACTGCTATACAGCTATCCACAGATATGAAAGACATGGAGCCAGCCATTGGTTCCCCCCCCCCTTTTTTTGCAAAAAACTAAAACTAAAAATGTTTGCTTTTTTTCAGCAGCAAGCCAAATTGAATCAAACTTTTCAAACATTAAAGATCTCAACTTGGCCACATTTCAAAAGGAAGATGTTTGCCCCCCCCTCTCCCGGTCTCGCTCCAATTCTGTTCTGAGTTCAAAACACGTTTTTGGAGTTTGAAAGGGGGGGGCTGTCCCAGAACAGCCCTTGTCAAACGTAAAGCGATTGCTTTATCCTTCATCTGAGAACTATCTTTATATTCAACCTGCGTAATTTTATTCTCCAAAAAGACACAGTTAACGGAACAAGAATAACCGAATCGGATGGGACCTGGGAGGTCTTCTAGTCCAACCCCCTGCTCAGGCAGGAGACCCCATACGCCATTTCTTCCAAGCTAGGTTGGTACTGAGACCAGCCTGATGGCTTCACACGCCACTCAACAAGCGACAACTGCTAAACAATCCAACTCTTTGGCTCCCGTTTAGCCAAAGCAACTTTTTCGGAGCACTCACACTACGATAGACTATTCCTACACAGTGCAGTTCCACCAACGGCATCAGGACTTTCCCAAGGAAAACTTCTTCCTAACGGCAGGAAAAGGGTAGAGTCGAGGCACTATAAAGATCATAAACTGATCATCCATCCTCTTTTAATCGGACTCCAAGAGTCATCGTACACTGCAGTTTCCCTTCCTGCTGAAAAGATTTTTTTCCAGTCTCAAAAGTTTGACAAAATGCCTCCCATTCCATTTTATGGCGAGGAAGAACACAGAGATGGTTACGCCGCCCTCCCAAATGGCTTTCAAGGGGTTTTTTTTTGGGAGGGGGGGAAACAAACAAACAAACAAAAAAAACGAGGTTGAACACAGGCAAATGGTTAGCCAGGTCTTGAGATAGCTAAACACACACCTTCCTGAAAAATAACTAAACGAAACCTCATTTTCTGAAGATTTCCCAAACAGAGGAAATTGTACGAGCAGCACAGGTTTAATCCGTGATATCCCCACCCATTCCAAAAAAAAAAAAAAATCAGTTCTCTGATTGCAACTTTCCTAACACATTTTAATAATAACAATAAAGAAAAAAGGCAGAACCTTTTAATAGGATTTCCTAAAATGTCTTTGTTGGTAAAAAATAGTGGAAATTTCCAGACCTCACCCTCTTGGTCACAAAGACCCCCCCCGCCATAAAGTCAATTTCTTAGTTTTAAAGAGTCAACGCAAATCATCAATCGACAGCTTTAATTGATTTGAAGCCGGGTGATGGTTTAAAACAAAAACAAAAAGCTTTAAGTGGGACCCCGTCCCTGTTTCTCCACGACAAACAACCTCAAAGAAGCAGGAAAATGAGGGTAAAATATAATTTACCCCTGAAAGAGTATGTTGGCCTTTTAAATGCCTTTCAAATTCAGAACTGAGCCCTATCTACGCTCAAGACCAGCGAACGCCTTGCTTTTTCTGCACAAGCTACAATTTAAAAGTCGCCATCCTACACCCGCTGAATAAAGGAAAGGGGAGGGGGTGTTCAGGACTGACGGAAGCAACCCCTAAGTCAACTTTTTTGTGGGGCCCCCGGGCTGTTTGTGCAACACAAAACCGGGTGGGGAGGGGGCAGAGAATGGCTAAACAAGGGGTCCACCCAAATTGAGTCTAGAATCATGGCGAGATTATATCCCTCTTGGAGAGATCCCCGTCCCCAAAGGAGGGATAGGAGAGGAGAGGGAGAAAGAGAGAGACCCCCCATCCCAATTCCCCCCCTTTTTTTAAGGAGGAGAAAAAAAGTTTAATGGGGGAAGGAGGAGGACGCAAGACCCCCCCCTCCCCAAAAAGCAGCAGAAACTTGCAAAATGGGGGTGAAGCTTTGTCAAATTCAGTTCAGGGAGGGAATTGAGATTTGCAGGGGGGGCTCCCTTTTTTTAAAATCCGAGGTGAAGCCAAATTACAACACAATGACCAGAGGCGGATAAGAGCGCTGGGGAGGGATAACACGCTGGGGTGGGACTTGTTTCTCCTCTCCCCCCCCCCCAAGTTGCAAAATAAGCCACACATTTTGCAAAACACAGTTTGGAGATGGCCAGGAGGGGAGGGAAGAAAAGGGAGAAGGTGGGGGGGGGAAGCCTGGGGTCTTTTTGTGTGTGTGTTTTGTTGTGGTGGGGTGGTGGTGGCCGCGGTGGTGGGGAGCAGGAGGAGAGGACCACCTCCCTTTCCCCCCCCACTCCAGGGCTCCACGCCAAGTTTCCCATCACAATGTAGGGCCCCCTTGCATTTCTATGGGGTTTTTATTGATCCCCCAGCCTTTCAAGCAGGATCGCGGAGTTATAAAATATTCACAACGCCATTGAGGGCCGAGATTGATCACTGCCCCGCAGAGGAAGTGGGGATAGAAGGTGGAGTGGGGGGAGGAAGCCCCCAACCCATTATTGGGAGCCCCCAACCCATTATTGGGAGCCCCCAACCCATTATTGGGGACTCCCAACCCATTATTGGAAGCCCCCAACCCATTATTGGGAGCCCCCAACCCATTACTGGGGACTCCCAACCCATTATTGGGAGCCTCCAACCCATTATTGGGAGCCCCCAACCCATTATTGGGAGCCCCCAACCCATTATTGGGGGGGTGTCTCTTCTAAAGTATGCTGGAGCCCCCTCTCCCCCAACTTCGTTTCTCCAACAGGGCGCCCCCCCCAAAAGACACCCTCCCTCTTTCCCACGATCCATTTACTCCCCCTCCTCTGGACTCTCCCCCGCCAATTAGCACCAGCCACTGTGGGGGAGGGAGGGGGGGTCCTGCCAAGGTGGGGGGGGGATGAAAGAGGCTTTGCAAGCCCCCACCCATTCTTGGGGGGCGGCTCTTTTAATGCAGGATGGACCCCTCCATACCGGCCGCTCCTTCCCTTTCCCAACCAGGCGCCCCCCCCGCCCTGAAAGATACTCTCCCTCTTTCCCAGAACCAACACTAGAGAGGGACGACCCTCCCCATCGGGCCCCCTCCTCTGAGCTCCCCCACCCATGATTCCCAGCCACGGCGGGCTCAGGCCCGTGGAAGGACCACCCCATCGTGTCCCCTCATGTGGACTCCCCCACCCATGACTCCCAGGGGTCTCGGGGCAGGGGAGGATGGCTTGGGGGCGCCTACTGTTGGAGGGCGGAGGACGACCCATCCCATCGGGACCCCTCCCCTGGGCTCCCCCACCCATGACTCTCAGGGGTCTCAGGGCAGAGAAGGATGGGCTTGGGGGGTAGGACGATCCTCCCCAACGGGCCCCCTCCCCCACCCGTGGTTCCCAGGGGTCTCGGGGCAGGGGAGGATGGGCTTGGGGGCGCCTACCGTTGGGGGACGGAGGACGACCCTCCCTCGCCTGGACTCCCCCACCCATGACTCTCAGGGGTCTCGGGGCAGGGGAGGATGGGCTTGGGGGGGAGGACGACCCTCCCCACCGGGCCCCCTCCCCTGGACTCCCTCACCCGTGATTCCCGGGGGTCTCGGGGCAGGGGAGGATGGGCTTGGGGGCGCCTACCGTTGGGGGGCGGAGGAAGACCCTCCCTCTCCTGGACTCCCCCACCCATGACTCTCAGGGCAGAGGAGGATGGGCTTGGGGGCGGAGGACGATCCTCCCCATCGGGCCCCCCTCCCCTGGACTCCCCCACCCATGATTCCCAGCCAGGGCTCCGGGGGGCGCCTACCGTTGGGGGGCGGGGGCTCCGGCCTCCTCTCCGCGGCCCCCGCGCCGGGCGGCGGCTCGGGCTCCATGGCGCTCAGGTGGAGGGCGGCGGCGGCGGCGGCGTCTCCCCCGCAGCCAGGACCCCTCGCCCGCCGCCCCGCCGCCGGGGGCCCATCGCCGCCGCCGCCGCCCCCCGCTCGCCTCGCGGCGGCCGCTGCACACGGAGGCGCCCCGCTCAGGGCCACGGCCGCCGGCTCCGACCGCCCAACCGCCCGCCCGCCGGTCGCTCCCGCTCCGCCGCCTCGTCCCGACTGAGCGACCGGCCGGCACCGCCGCGCTCCCCACCGCCCTCGCGCATGCGCCGCCGCTAGGGGCACGCCGGGAAGCGTAGTCCGCCGGGCGGAACCATTCCCAACCCCCACACACAAACACACAAACACACACAGAGTTTCCCCCCCGCCTTCCTCTTCACCGCTCGGCCTCCGCCGCCCTTGCCCTCCCCTTGGACCGCTCCCCGCGTCCACGCCTTCCCCTTTCCTCAGTTTCTTGATTCTTCCCCCCCTTTGGTGAGGGTAATGGGTTCGCCCAGCGGTTGGGGCCGGGCGCGTAACCCCGCCCCCTTCGTGAATATTCATTCTACAGCGAGAATGAATTCTCTCTCTCAGCTGGCTCGGGTTTCCCCCGAGGGGAGGGGCAGGGAGGAGAGAGGGGCGTGGCCAAGGAGGAGGAGGAGGAGGGGTTTCGACCCTCACCGGGGCCCACCTCTTCGGGTTGTTGTGAAGATCAACGGGAGCAGCAAATCAAATCCAAGCTTTTATGATTTTTCTCTTTTATAGAAAGGAAAGGAGAATAGAGGTAGTCCCCCCCACTTGCCGGTTCATTTAATGACCGCTCGGCACTGAAAAAAAAGTGACGTGTTTCACTCTCGTGACCGTCGCAGCAACGCCAGGGTCACCTGATCGAAATCCAGACGCTTGGCAACTGACTCATATTTACGACGGTCGCAGCGTCCCGGGGAGGGTCACGCGATCCCCTTTTGCGACGTTCGGACAAGCGAAGTCAACCCCCTTGCACTTTGTGGCATCTTTCGGAGGGGGGGGGGTGCTTAATTTTAGGCTGAGGCAAGTCATCCTCGGTTTGCGGCCACCACTGAGCCCAAAATTTCCGTTGTTAAGTGAGTTTTGCCCCACTTTACGACTTTTGCTACCACCGTTGTTAAGTGAGTCGCTGCAGTTGTTCAGTTGTAGCATGGTCATTAAGGGAATCTGGCTTCACCCCACCCTTGACTGAGCTTGTCGAAAGGTCGCAAAAGGGGATCACGTGACTCTGGGACACGGCGACCGTCATAAATACGAGTCGGATGCCAAGCCTCTGATTTTTGATCACGTGATCACGGGGATGCTGCAAAGGTCGTAAGTGTGAAAAATGGTGAGAACTCATTTTTTTTCAGGGCTATCGTTTTCAGGACTTTGAACGGTCACTAAATGAACCGTTGTAACCCGAGGACTGCCTGCATTAGGGATTGAGGGGATCCTCAGCATCCCCTTCCCCCCCCTCCCAATCTGCTAAGGATCCATCGGATGGACTGCACGAAAAATAGTCACCAGGGGGCGCCCTCGGACTTACTCTGGGGAGAGCCAGGAATCCTGGCTACAAAAGTCGGGTTCACACGCCATTGCCCTCCTCCCCCCGCATGTAAGTTTCTGCAGGGATATACGGGGAGGCTGGAATTACGGGGGAGGGGAGTGCCCAAGGGCAGGGGGCTGCTCACTCCCCTCGAAATTTGAGGGGAAAGACAGTTGAGTCCCCGCAGCGCTTTCTGTTTAGGCCAGAGAATAGAATAGAATAGAATAGAATAGAATAGAATAGAATAGAATAGAATAGAATAGAAAATAGAATAGAATAGAATAGAATAGAATAGAATAGAAATGGGATAGAATAGAATAGAATAGAATAGAATAGAATAGAATAGAATAGAATAGAATAGAATAGAAATTAGAATAGAATATATATTAATAGAATAGAATAGAAATTAGAGTAGAGTAGAATAGAATAGAATAGAATAATTAGAATAGAATAGAATAGAATAGAACAGAAATTAGAATAGAATATGTATTAATAGAATAGAATAGAAATTAGAATAGAGTAGAGTAGAGTAGAGTAGAGTAGAATAGAATAGAATAGAATAGAATAGAATAGAATAGAATAGAGCTGGAAGGGACCTTGGAGGTCTTCTAGTCCAGCCCCTACTCAAGCAGGAGAACCTATACCATTTCAGACATGTGACTCTTCTTAAAAATCTCCAGTGGTGAAGTACTCACGATTTCTGGTGGCAAGCTGTTCCACTGGTTAATTGTCCTCACTGTTAGGAAGTTTCTCCTTAATTCCAGGTTGCTTCTCTCTTTGCTCAGTTTCCAACCATTGTTTGTTTCTTCTCCTGCTCTCTGCTGCTTTGGTCCCTGCTTTCCTTAAAAAAAAGAAAGAAAGATAGAAGTTGGGATGGGTGCAAAGCTACCCCTGGGGCGTCTGAAGAGACCCCCCCCCTTGGAGGGAGAGGAGGTCGCTGACCAGCAACGGGACAGGATCTCCGGCAAGATCACGGAAACGTCGGCTCGGCCTCGCTTTACCCCGTCTGCGAAATGGGCCCAAGGGCCAGCCACCCAACGAGGCGCGCGCTCCAGAGCTGGTGCAGAAGGCTCCCTCCCTCCGTCCGCCCATCAGCCCGGATCTTCCGCGCTGGCCAGGGCGAAGGGGGCGGGTGGCGCCCCTCCAGCTCAGCCCAGAGGCGGGGGCACCGGCCGGGAAGCCCCTCCTTCCCTGCCCGCCACCCTCCAGGGCTCCCAGACTCAGCAGGCAGAGCCCGGGCGCGCTCGGATAGCGGAGAGGTCCCTGCCCGGTCTTGCGCACCCGTTCTGCCGCTGCCCGGGGGTCGACATGGGCGCCCCGAGGGGTCGGGGGCGCCTGGCCTGGATCGCCGCTCTTCTGCTCCAGCTGCTCGTCTCCTGCGTCCCGGCGCAGGGCAGAGGGAAGGTAGGAGCCCCCCTCCCCCCTGGAATGGGGCAGGGGGTGCCCATGCCCACCCCGGGACCTCCAGGGAGCCCCGGGGATGGGGTGCCGCAGGCTGCTTGGGGAGCCCCCTTTGACATTGGGGGGGGCTCTGCGCCCCTCGAACCCAGAGCCTCGCCTCGTTTGGCTTCGCGACTTGTCCATTTTCAATTTTTATTTGCATTTCTCCGACTTTACGCCACCGCCCGGGTTGAAAACGGCCCGCGTGCGCCCTTCAAAGAAACACAGAAGCCTTGAAAGGCTTCCATCAAACGCGTCGTATTGAGCCAACCGGGAATCGTGGCTTAGTGGAGGTCTGGAGCGGGTCTCGGGGTGCCCGTTGCGCCCCTTGGATCAGACAAGCCAACGACCGACTTTAGCCTTTGGGGAACAAAAGCCGGCGGGGGCTGATCTCTTCCTGCCCGCAAAGGCTGGAGAAGCCAGGAGAAAGTCAATTTATTAGAAGGGGAAAAAAAGTCACTTCTTCATTTAAGGCAGTTTTGGAAAAGTAACTTTTGCTGGAAAGGAAAGTGGTTCCCCCCCCCTTTTTTTTTTTTTTTTTTTGCTTGGATCGCCTTCTTTGCTTGGCCCCCGGTGTCTCCCTTTCCGGAGGTGCATGGTGGGTGCTTCTGAACATGTGCAGAGGGCCACACCTCTTTTCCCCAGATGTTTAGGGTTGCTGCTTCTGGAGGCAAATCAACCAGTCTCTTGGGGGGGGGGTTAAAAAAAATAGGTAGGATAAATCCATAAATTAGCCTGAGTGACACCTCCATGGGAAGTAGGAGGGGGGAGCTTTTATTGATTTATTGAAGCCTGGAAGTCACCAGCATCCACCCAGAAGTGTTGTTTGTTTTTTTTTCCTCCCAATGGTGGGTCAATCCCGGCTTGTAAGAGAGGAGGGGGAAGCCCCCCCACCAATCCCAGAACAGCCTGGATCATCTGTGGCAGTTTTTACAGCCGGATCGCCTCCCCCCCCCCTTTTCTCCAGTCAGTAAGGCTGACTCACCCCCTCCATGACTTCCAAGGGACCAATTAAAAGGGGATCCACTGGGTTGCCAAAAAAAAAAAAACCAGATCAGAATTGATTTTCTGCTCCCTTTCTGCTCCCTCCCCCCAGTCTTTATCCCTGTGCAAAGTGAAAGCAGCAACCCAACACACACACACACACACACACATAGACCCGAAAACCCAGGCAAGGGATAATGGCTTTTCTCTGCCCCTCCCCGTCCCCCCATCGCTACTTTGCTTAAAAAATTAGGACCTGGGTGCACAGTAACACACACACACACAAACCAAAGTCCTGCTCTCCGAAATATTTATGCGCCAAGGGGAGGTGGGCCCGGGACCCCGGTTTGCTAGCATTCCTCACCCCCCTGGCGTATTTCACATCAAACAGCCATGTTTTTCTTGGGAAGATAGTTGGAATTGTAAGGCAAGGAAGACGGGGGAGAAGGGAACAGCTCGCCTCCTGGAGTTGTGACTGCTCCATTGCTGGGAGTTTTTAAAAATAGACCGCCATTTGACGGGGATGGTATAACAGCACTCCTGCCTTCACCAGCGGGGTTAGACTAGAAGACCTCAGAGGTTCCTCCCTGTCCTATAAGTCTAGCTTCTAAGGTGCTGCCGTGTTGTCCCTTCTCCCCGTGGTGAAATCCAAGAAATAAAATGCACCAACTTTTTCAGGTTGTCGAGATGCTGGCCGCTACGGAGATGCCCAGTTTTGTAGGGAAATTTAAAAAAAAACAGAGAGAGAGAAAAAAAACCTTAAAATAGTTGAATATGTAACTGTGCCGGGAGACAGAGGCGCGAAATGGAATGCAGGCAGTCCTCGAATTTCAACTGTTCATTTAGTGACCGTCCAAAGTTACAACGGCGTTGAAAAAAGTGGCTTGCGGCCATTTTTCACACGGCCCTTGCAGCATCCTTGCAGTCGCGTGATCAAAATGCAGACGCTGGGCCACTGACTCGTATTTATGACCGCCGCAGTGTCTCCCGGGGTCACGTGACCCCTTCTGGTGACCTCCTGACAGGCAAATTCAAAGCAGATCCGCAGAACGGCCGGGTTACTCGCTTATCAACTGCGGTGTTTCGCTTAACAAAAACGGCGAGAAAAATGGTAAAACGGGACAAAACCCACTTAGCAAATTTCTCCACTTAGCAACGTAAAAGGTTTTGGCCTCAACCGTGCTCATAAGCTGAGGACTAACCCGCATCTATTCTTTCCATGATATGTAATAATAATAATAATAATAATAAAGTTGGAAGGGACCTTGGAGGTCATCTAGTCCAACCCCCTGCTCAGGCAGGAAACCCTATACCATTTCGGACAAATGGCTGTCCAGTCTCTTCTTAACAACTTCCAGCGTTGGAGCATTCACCGCTTCTGGAGGCAGGCGGTTCCACTGGTGAATTGTTCTCCCTGTCAGGAAGTTTCTCCTTAGTTCTAGGTTGCTTCTCTCCTTGGTGAGGATTCCCTGTCAGAAATAGTGTAGGGTCTCTTGCTTTGGGGGGTTGGACTAGATGACCTACAAGGTCCCGCCCAACTCTTTTATTCTAATTGAAAAAAAAAATCTGTAATTTTTAGGAGGAGCTGATGGATGGAGGCAACTTTTCATTTCTCCTCGGGATCTCCTGGAGAATGTTTACAGCCTTTCCCGCCCCCCCCCCATGGCAACACAACATTAACTGCGCCACTCCGTAAATAGGCCGTGGGATAAGAGTTAGGCAATCTTTAAAAAAATGGTTTGCCAAAGACCGCCTCGTCCCAAAATAAATCATCCTGGTTTGTCTTTTTCCCACTCTTCTCCAGTCCATTGGCAGCTGGAGTGGGGAACAAGCCCCACCCCACCCCACCCAAGGACATTTTTTTCGGACAGCTGCAAAGATTGAGCACGCTTGTTGGGTGGGAAAACTGACAGGGTGCGAGGCAGGGAGGGGCTGCGGGCACTGACCTGCATGCCAAAGGCTTCTGGGATGCCCTGGATTTATAAACAGTTGAAGGGACCTTGGAGGTCTTCCAGTCCACCCCCTGCTCAGGCAGGAGACCTAGGCCTAGACCAATTCAGACAAGTGGCTGTCCAGTCTCTTCGTGAACACTGGAAGTTTTTAAAAAGAAAGTGGACAACCTTTTGTCTGAAATGGTATAGGGTTTCCTGCCTGAGGGTTGGACTAGATGACCTCCAAGGTCCCTTCCAACTCTGTTATTCTATTCTATTCTATTCTATTCTATTCTATTCTATTCTATTCTGTATTTTATTTCTATTCTATTCTATTCTATTCTATTTCCTTTTCTGTTCTATTCTATTCTAATAATTCCTATTCTCTTCTCTTCTCTTCTAATAATTTCTCTTCTCTTCTAATAATTTCTCTTCCCTTCTCTTCTCTTCTCTTCTATTCTAATAATTTCTATTCTATTCTATTCTATTCTGTATTTTATTTCTCTCCTCTTCTGTATTTTATTTTATTTCTATTCTATTCTATTCTGCATTCTATTCTATTCTATTCTATTCCTATTCCTTTATTCGATTCTATTCTATTCTGTATTTTATTTCTCTTCTCTTCTGTATTTTATTTCTATTCTATTCTATTCTATTCTATTCTATTCTATTCTATTCTATTCTATTCTATTCCTCTATTCTATTCTATTCTATTCTATTCTATTCTGTATTTTATTTCTATTCTATTCTATTCTATTCTGTATTCTATTCTATTCTATTCTATTCCCTGCAGTGTTGCTGGGCTAGAGTAACTCCGTTCCTCCCTTTGGGAGAACAAAGCTTCTGGCTTTGTGCCACTGACGTCTCCGGACACCACCTGCTCCTTGTTTCAACCCCCAAGGATTTTTGCTCTTCCGCTGCTGCAGATTCCAAGCCCAGGCAGAGCTTTTTCGGCCATGCCACCTGTGCACACAAGCCCCAGAGAGGGGGGAAGACTTCGGCTTCCCCAACGCGGGTTAAGCGGCTTCCGCACAGCAGTGCCAGCAGCCGGGTCTCCCCAAGGACGGCCGTACCACACCCTGCTTTGGAGCGAAGCTTCTGCTGGTTGAGAGTTCCTTGTTCCCCTCCCAGTTCCTGGCCGAATCCATGTGATTCCTGTTTATGGAAGCCGTTCGCAAGACATTCCAGGGGTGTGTTGTGTGTCTGTGCCAATTCACAACGGCCGTGGCACAACTCACCGCCGGACAAGAATTTGCACTCATGCCGAAGAAGCAGCGGAACAGAACCGCTAACGAAAGGATGCCAACGGAGGGGACCGTGTGAAATGGGAACGGCAAAGATGAAAATGTTTTATTTTATTTTGAAGCGTTAAATTGAACTGTGAAAATTGTCCCCCGGTGAGTTTGCCCCACAGCACGTTGGCTATGGTGTGTTGTGGCAAGTTGTTTCCCGTTCCGTTCCAGGGGGTAAGTTTCCAAAGCCCCTGAAGGCAGGACAAGAAGCAGCGGATGGAAACTAATCAAGGAGAGAAGCAACCTAGAACTAAGGAGAAACTTCCTGACAATGAGAACAATTAACCAGTGGAACCACCTGCCTCCAGAAGCGGTGAAGGCTCCAACACTGGAAGTTTTTAAGAAGAGACTGGACAGCCATTTGTCCGAAATGGTATAGGGTTTCCTGTCTGAGCAGGGGGCTGGACTAAATGACCTCCAAGGTCCCTTCCAACATTATTATTATGGATCATCGCACAGTCAGCCAGATGTTCAGACTGGATTTGGCATTTTGTCTACCTATCGAGTCCTTACCCAGGACTTGGGATAGGCAGACGTGGATGTTTGATGGTATTACAGATATCGTCGCAGGATGAAAGCAGTTCCTAGTAAGGCTGCCTTTTGCAATTGACTAATAGCGAATTTGTCAATGCTGATGATGGTGTTCTCTGCGTCTGTTAGGTCTCCAGAGCTAAAAAAGCTCCCTTCACTTTTTTTCTGTCTGCCACCTTAACTGGTTCCACTGGTATCCCAGCCAGCAGCAACCTTGTTATAGTGGGGGAAATGGTGAGAGTGGAAGAATCACGTGGCACCCTTTTCCCAGGCTTGCCCCAAGGAACTCTTGGAGCAAAAACAGGTTTTCTGCTTCTAAAGCCACTTTGAACATTATTGGGAGTGTGATGAGCCAGGGAACGGGGGTTCCCCCCATTCCCCCCCCCCAGTTTCCTTTCTCTTGGCACCGAGATCTGTGAGCCCGCCGTTCTTTGATGCGGTGCCTGGACAGCTGTGTGGAGCTTCCTGGCCAGATGTGACCTTTTCTGATCCCTCCCATGTAGGCCTTTGGAGACCCGGATCAGCATGTTCGCATGACCTCCGAGGGCTCCGACTGCCGCTGCAAATGCATCCTGCGCCCGCTTGGCAAAGCTGCCTGCGCCCGTCTCCGAGAAGGTAGGCTCTCCTGCCTGAGCAGGGGGTTGGACTAGAAGACCTCCAAGGTCCCTTCCAGCTCTGTTATTCTATTCTATTCTATTCTATTCTATTCTATTCTATTCTACATTCCATATTCTATTCTGTTCTGTTCTGTTCTGTTCTGCTCTATTCTATTCTATTCCATTCCACTTCCATATTCTATTCTATTCTATTCTATTCTGTATTTCTATTCTGATTTGTTTCTATTCTATTCTGTATTTCTATTCTATTCTCTATTTTCTTCTCATCTCTTCTCTTCTCTTCTATTCTATTCTGTATTTCTATTCTGATTTTATTCTATTTTATTCTATTCTATTCTGTATTTCTATTCTATTCTCTCTTCTCTTCTCTTCTATTCCTGTATTTTATTATTCTATTCTATTTTCTATTCTATTCTATTTTCTATTCTATTCTATTTTCTATTCCATTCTAAGGCAGCCGGAGGGGGGAGGACTTCTACACTGTGGAGACGATCAGCTCAGGGGGCGACTGCCGCTGCTCCTGCACGGCCCCCCCAGCCTCGCTCAACCCCTGCGAGGACGAGTGGAAGATGGAGAAGCTGAAGGAGCAGGCCCCCGAACTACACAAGGTATGGAGGGGGCAGAGGCAGAGGGTAGCCCTCCCCAGTTGTCAGAACCCCGCAGGTGCACCCCAGAGGTGGTGCAAGACCCCTTCGCTGTCCACCCCCCCAGGCTGAATGGAGCCCCTGGTGATTGGGCCATAGTCACCCAGCCAACCTTCATGGCTAAGGCAGGACTAGAACGCACTCTCTCCCGGTGACTGGCTGAAAGTCACCCAGCTGGCTTTCATGCCTTAAAGCAGCACTACAATGCCCAGTCTCCTGGGGACTGCTCCAAAGTCACCCAGCTGGCTTTCATGGCCAAGACGGGACTAGAACTCACCGTCTCCTGGTGATGGGCCCGAAGCCACCCAGCCGACTTTCACGGTTAAGGCGGGACTCGAACTCACCACCTGTGCCCCAACCACTGCTCCCCGCTTCCTCTGCAGCTGCAGTCGGTCATCGACCTGCTGGAAGGAGCCCTCTACAGCATGGACTTGTTGAAGGTCCATTCCTACATCGACAAGGTGGTGGAGCAGATGAACACCTTGGAAGAGGTGACCGCCAACGTCTTGGGGTTCCTCCTCCTTTAGCAGCAACTGGGTGGGTTTAGAGAAGGTGGAAGGGCAGGGGGAGTGAGGAAGGGGGTCTCCTTCATCCCTGGAGATCATATGTCCCGCTGGAAAAAGCCGGGATCTCTTTTCCGCTGACCCCGGATTTAAGTGATCATTAAAGTAGGTTCTGGATAAAGGATGGGGGGGGGGGAACAAGAGCTGCTCACCAGCAGAACCTGAACATGATGAGATGACTTGCAATGGGTCTGTTTGAGCAGACCATGCTGGTTTGGAGTTCCTGAGCCGGGCTGGACTACATGGCCTCTAGGATGCCCTGGGTTTCAGAGGCTCCCCGAGAAAGGGGAAAGGAAGTCAGGAAGGCTGGTTAACTGAGTCAATGCAGTATAATATTAACATACTAATGTTATTATTCTTACTTATTATTATTAATAATAATTAATATTATCACCCCCACACACACACTCGATCCCTTCTCCCCACCCCAGACGGTCAAAACCAACCTGAGCCGCGACAGCAACGTGGTGAAGGAGAGCGTCATGCACTTGAGTGACCAGATGAGGCGCTACGAGAACTACTCGGACATCATGGCGGGCATCAAGAAGGAGCTTTCGAACCTGGAGCATCAGCTGCTGCAGAAAGACGCGGCCGTCGCAAGCCCCGAACTCAAGGCCCAGGTTAGTCCCTGTCGTTCTGGTTGGAACTGACCGGTCAAATCCATCTCCTTGAAAATTTGGATCCGTTTATCTGTTTGTCCTTCCTTCCTTCCTTCCTTCCTTCCTTCCTTCCTTCCTTCCTTCCTTCCTTCCTTCCTTCCTTCCTCCTTCCTTCCTTCCTTCCTTCCTTCCTTCCTTCCTTCCTTCCTTCCTTCCTTCCTTCCTTTCTTTCTTTCTTTCTTTCTTTCTTTCTTTCTTCCTCATTCTTCTGGAAGTTTTTCTCGCCCGCCCTGCTTGCCTTGAGTTTGCACTTTGTTCCTCTTCCCTCCCCTTCGCTTTGTCCTTTCGTGCTGCGTCTGTTCAGACCAAAACGGCTTTATCACAGCCTGGTTTGCAGGCACAGATCTGGAGAGTTAAACTGAAGGCTGGACAAGGAATAACGGATGGAAACAGGTCAAGGAGGGATTCAACCTGGAAATAAGCAGAAATTTTCTGAAATGTTGGAGGTCTCCTGCTTGAACTAGATGACCTACAAGATTCTATTCTATTCTATTCTATTCTATTCTATTCTATATTCCAATTTCTATTCTATATTCCAATTTCTACTCTGTTCTATATTCCAATGTCTATTCTATTCTATTCTATTCTATTCTATTCTATTCTATTCTATATTCCAATTTCTATTCTATTCTATATTCCAATTTCTATTCTATTCTATATTCCAATTTCTACTCTGTTCTATATTCCAATGTCTATTCTATTCTATTCTATTCTATTCTATTCTATTCTATTCTATTCTATTTTCTATATTCCAATTTTTATTCTATTCTATATTCCAATTTCTATTCTATTCTATATTCCAATATGTATTCTATTCTATTCTATTCTATTCTATTCTATTCTATTCTATTCTATTCTATTCTATTCTATATTCCAATTTCTATTCTATTCTATATTCCAATATGTATTCTATTCTATTCTATTCTATTCTATTCTATTCTATTCTATTCTATTCTATTCTATTCTATTCAATTTCTATTCTATTCTATTGTCTATTCTATTCTATTCTATTCTATTCTATTGTTATTCTATATTCCAATGTCTCTTCTCTTCTCTTCTCTTCTTTTTTCCCCTGAGCCTCTGCGTTGTTCCCAGTTTGTGTTTCTCTCCCCATCTTAGGACCCTGCAGGACGCCAGGAGAGCGTTCAGAAATATCCCAGTCCTCGGAAAAGCCTGGGGGACAAAGAGACCCCCAGAATTCCCAAGGAGAAGTCCCTCAAGGCAGAGAAACTGAGGAAGGAAAGTGCCAAAGGGAGGAAGGGGCTGCCACTGGCCAGTTCCAAAGCCCACTCCTCCGGGCAGGAAACAGTCATCCGGGGTGTTGTGTACTACAAAGCGGGACATCGAACGGAAGCTGAGGGGGTGGCGAGCAGCCGTGGTGAGTAAGGGGGAGGGCAGGGGTCCCAGGGAGCTGCCCCCCCCCGAATTTTGCCAAATCAAATGCAGTTTGGTTATTACAGTACAAAAGTAGTCCTTGACGCACGACAACGGAGCCCAGCTTTTTCGCTGCTAAGTGAGACACGCGTCACGTGAATGCTCCCCATTTTACCGCCGACCTCGTCACGGTCAATTGCTGCAGTTGTTAAGTCAGTAACCTGGTCGTTAAGCGAATCTGGCTTTCCCCCCCCCCCCCCGACTTGGCTTGTCAGAAGATCAGAAAAGTCACACGTGATCCCTCTCTGCGACGGTCGTAAATACGAGTCAGTGGCCAAGCGTCTGAACGTTGATCACGTGACCGCAGGGGGTACTGCGATGGTCATCAGTGTGAAAACGGTCAGAACTTCGAACGGTCACTGCTGTACGTCGAGGGCGATTTGTACGAGTCGTCCTCCACTTACGGGGACTGGAATTTCCGTGGCTAAGCAAGTCGGTCGCTTAAGAGAGTCACGCCGGATTTATCTGACCTTTTCCCCCGGGGCTGTTACGCACATCGCTGCCGTTAAATTAATCCTGCGGTCCTTAAACGAATTCAACTCCCCCCCCCGCCTCCTATTGGCCGCCACAGGCTGGGAAGGTGGCCCGTGGTGGGTCACGTGACCCCGGGGCGCTGCAATCCCCGTGGCTGCCACGTGCCCAAAATTCTGATCCGACAAGCTTGCCGAGGCTGGGAGGGTTTTAAGTGGGAGGACCAGTCCTAGTTCACCCCCCCCTTTTTTTTCATTTGCCATTGTAGCTTTGACCAATGTTGTAAGTTGAGGACTGTCTTTGGGGCTTGCTAAGAATGCTCTTTTCTGGCAGAAAACCTTGGGAAGGAAGCTGGATCCAAAATGGCTGACCCAGAGACCCTCTCCAGAGCAGGAGAAATCCCTTCGACGGCTTCCCCTGCCAACGCCACCTCCGTGCCCATCATCCCCAGCATCGGCGCCATGCTCCAAAGTCGGTCTGGTGCCCCTCTGCTGTCCAGGAGGCGTGGCCACGTCCCCGAAGTCCCTCCCACGCCCAGCCACGGTAGGTGTGAACCCTTCCTCCATTGGGGTTGGGTTGGGTTAGGAAAGCCGACGCAGTCCTGAGTTGCATTAAGAGAGGGATTCAATCAAGATCACGTAAGGTGCTAATACCCCGCTGTAAAGCCGTAGTAAGGCCACACCTAGAATACTGCATCCAGTTTTGGTCTCCACACTATTAAAAAAGACGTTGAGACTCTAGAAAAAGTACAGAGAAGAGCGACAAAGATAATCAGGTGGACTGGAGGCTAAAACAGATGAAGAACGGCTGCAAGAACTGGGCATGGCTAATCTAGCGAAGAGAAGGACCAGGGGACACATGATTGTAGGGTTCTAATATTTGAGGGGCTGTCACAGAGAGGAGGGAGTCAACCTATTTTCCAAAGCACCTGAAGGCCAGACAAGGAACAACGGATGGAAACTGACCAAGGAGAGAAGCAACCTAGAAATAAGGAGGAATTTTCTGACAGTGAGAACAATCAACTGGTGGAACTGGAGTTGCCTTCAGATGTTGTGGGAGCTTCATCGTTGGAAGCTTTCAAGAAGAGACTGGACAGCCATCTGTCAGAAATGGTGTAGAGTCTTCTGCTTGGGTGGGGGGTTAGACTAGATGATCTACAAGGTCCTAACTCTGTTCTATTCCTGTTCTATTCCTTATTCCATTCCTTATTCTATTCTATTCTATTCTATTCTATTCTATTCTATTCTATTCCATTCCATTCCATATTCTATTTTCTACTCTACTCTACTCTACTCCACTCCACTCCATTCTATTCCATTTCATATTCTATTCCATATTCTATTTTCTACTCTACTCTACTCTACTCTACTCTACTCTACTCTACTCTACTCCACTTCACTCCACTCCATTCTATTCTATTTTTCCATTCCACTCTACTCCACTCCACTCCATTCCATTCCATTCTATTCCATTTCGTATTCTATTCCATATTCTATTTTCTACTCTACTCTACTCTACTTCACTCTACTCTACTCCACTCCACTCCACTTCATTCCATTCCATTCTTACTTCTGATGGAAAGAAAGTGGGTTGGGGGTCTCCTTCAGTAGAGCTGTGCAGGCCCCTGGAACAGAGCTGGCAAACGTGGCAGGGTGGGGTGGGGCAGCCTGGTTGCCAATCCTTCCCATCCTCTCCGTTGGACCCACAGCACCCAGGGCCTCCTGCGAGGGGACCCTAAAGGCGGTGGAGCCCCCCCAGGAGCAGCACAGCTTCGGTCGAAATGAGGGCGCCTGGATGAAGGACCCGGCGGCCTCCGATGACCGGATCTACGTGGCTAGCTATTATTACGGGAACAACCTGCTCGAATTCCGCAATTTGGAGAATTTCAAGCAAGGTGAGAAAGGGTGGAGGGAGGGGAGGATGGGGGTGGGGGTGGGAGGGGGCACCGCACACCTGGGGAGACAAGAGGGGTGGGCTGTCCGTGGACTAAACCGCGGTTTGCGACATGGGACCGATTGAAGGAACCATGGTAGTTTTGCCTATCGTGAGTTGTAGTTTGTCACCACGAGGGCTAATTGTGCAGAACACCCGAAAGGAGACTTAAAGCACCTTCCCACGCAGGGAAGCAGATTCAGAGTTTGCAGAATATATATATATATATATATATATATAAAGAAAAGAGGATTTACTTGCTTCCTTTTTCTCTTGTTGGCTGCTTTGTTCTATTCCTTCCTCCTTTCCTTTCCGACTTCCCTCCTTCCTTCCTCTCATTCTCGTCTCCTTCCTTCCTTCCATTTTCTTCTTCTTTTCCTTTCCTTCCTTCCTCTTTCTCATCTCCTTCCTTCCTTCTTCTCCTTTCCTTTCCTTCTCATCTCCTTCCTTCCATCCTTCCTTTTCTTCTTTCTCTCTTTTCCTTCCTTATTCTCTTTTCCTTCCTTCTTTCTTTCCTTCCTCTCATTCTCATCTCCTTCCTTCCTTTTCTTCCTTTCTTTTCCGTTCCGTTCCTTTCCTTCCTTCCTTCCTCTCATTCTCATCTCCTTCCTTCCTTCCTTCCATTTTCTTCTTCCTTTCCTTTCCTTCCTTCCTCTTTCTCATCTCCTTCCTTCCTTCTTCTCCTTTCCTTTCCTTCTCATCTCCTTCCTTCCATCCTTCCTTTTCTTTCTTTCCTTTTTTCCTTCATTCTCATTTCCTTCTTTCCTTTCCTTCCTCATTCTCATCTCCTTCCTTCCTTTTCTTCATTTCTTTTCCGTTTCTTCCTTCCTTCCTCTCATTCTCATCTCCCTCCTTCCTTCCTTCCTTCCTTCCTTCCTTCCTTCCAAATTTCCATGTCTACCACATCCTTCTTTTCTTCTGCTTTCTCTGCTCCTTTAACGGAGCTGGTGCTTGGCCAGCTCCTTTGCCCAGAGATTTTTTCCATGCATGGTTAAAACAACTACGCAGCAAACTGACAGAGGGGGGGGGGGGAGAGATTGCTATCGGAGATTGTGTGGTGCGCAGCTAAGAAAGCTCTTCTCTTTTTCGGCTGAAATCTGAGCAGGGGTGGTCCTGCACGTTAAAACCGCCTCTTCAATTTTATTGATTTGTTTTTGTTTAGCCAACTTTGTAAATAGTCTGCTCACCGGCTCCCACTGGAATTTAAGACATGCGGATCCCGTGACTTGCTCAAACAATGATTTTGGTTGAGAAACAGATTTTCTAAACAGACTGCGTAGCTCGGACTGCTTTGGAGAGAAGATGCGCTTTTTAAAAGACCCAAGAGGGTGTCAGATGAATAAAGGAATAAATGAGCAAGAGAACCTGTCTTTTCCTTCCTTCCTTCCTTCCTTCCTTCCTTCTTTCCTTCCTTCCTTCCTTCCTTCCTTCCTTCCTTCCTTCCTTCCCTCCCTCCTCTTCCCTTCCTTCCTTCTTTCCTCCCTCCCTCCCTCTCTCATCACTGGAGGTTTTTAAGAAGAGACTGGACAGCCACTTGTCTGAAACGGTCTAGGCAGAGGGTTGGACTAGATGACCTCCAAGGTCCTTTCCAACTGTTCTTCTGCTATTCCTTCCTTCCTTCCTTCCTTCCTTCCTTCCTTCCTTCCTTCCTTCCTTCCTTCCTTCCTTCCCTCCCTTCCTCTCTCATCACTGGAGGTTTTCAAGAAGAGACTGGACAGCCACTTGTCTGAAACGGTCTAGGCCGGTCTCCTGCCTGAGCAGGGGGTTGGACTAGATGACCTCCCAAGATCCCTTCCAACTCTCTCCTTCTGTATCCTAAGGTTGTATGTCTCCCCAGGGCGCTGGAGCAACAGCTACAAGCTCCCCTACAGCTGGATCGGGACCGGCCACGTGGTCTTCCGGGGCTGCTTCTACTACAACCGGGCCTTCACCAGGAACCTCATCAAATACGACCTGCGCCAGCGCTTCGTGGCCGCCTGGTCCTTCCTGGATGATGTGGTCTACGAGGACGCCACGCCCTGGAAGTGGCGAGGCCACTCCGACATCGACTTGGCCGTGGACGAGAGCGGGCTGTGGGTCGCCTACCCGGCCGCAGACGACGGCTACTCCCCGCAGGAGGTCCTCGTGGTGAGCAAGCTGGACGCCGCCGACCTCTCCACGCAGAAGGAGACCACCTGGAAGACCAGCCTCCGGCGCCACGCCTACGGCAACTGTTTCATGGTCTGCGGCGTCCTGTACGCCGTGGACGAGGGCCGCGCCAGGGAAGGCCGCGTGATCTACGCCTACGACACTCACACGGCCACCGAAGCCCACCCCGGGCTGCCCTTCCAGAACAGGTTCGCCTTCACCACCCAGGTGGACTACAACCCAAAGGAGAAAGTCCTGTACGGCTGGGATAACGGCCACCAAGTCACCTACAAGCTGCAGTTTGTGGCTTGAGGATCGGGACCTGCCCCCCCCCAAAGCCACGGGCGGGCGCTCTCCGTGGCCGCAGGATGGCCCCGGCCCCGGGAGGGACTTTGATAGAGTGGATTGGACGCAACAGAGAGGACAAACCTCTCCCTTCGCGAAAGAGCTTCGTGGTGGGAACTTTCGGGGTGACCCCAACATCTGGCAGGATTCGGGGGGTGACGAGCAGTTAGGAAGCTCTTCGTGGCAGGCTTTTTTTTTTTCCCTCCTCGTGAACTTTCTTGCCCGTCGGACGCCCCATGAAAACAATACAGGCAGCCCCCACCTTACAAACGGTTCATTTAGCGACCGCCGGAAGACTTCAGTGACTTGTGGCTGTTTCCCCACACTTAACAACCGTCGCTGGTCTCCCCGTTGCTGGCCATGAAGATCAAAACTCATACGCTTGGCAACTGCTTCGTACTTACGACGGTCGCCGTGATTCACTTAACAACTGTGGCAAGGACGGTCGTAAAATGAGGCAAAAGTCACTGCACAAATGTCTCGCATAGAGACAGAAAGCTGGGGCTCCGTTGTGGCCAAGGGCTGCCTGTATCTCCTATTCTCCTCCCCCCCACCGGGCAGGGGTCTCTGCAAACTTAAAGTCCGCTTTAAGACTTGGGACCCCGACTCCCAGCTGGCTGGGGGATTCTGGGAGTCGGAGTCCCCAAGTCTTTAAAGTGGCCAATTTTGCAGAGAGCCTTCGGGCGTCTGAAAGTCTGTTTGTTTTGCCCACAAGTTACACAATCTTTTTTGTCGCTTTGTTTGGAAGAATGTTCACACACACCCACACACACACAAACACCCACACACGATTTTTTTCTCAGGGAAAAGAAAAAGCTGGCGCTGGTACGGAGGCAGTGCCTGACTCTTAGAGAGGAGAGGAGAGAATAGAATAGAATAGAATAGAATAGAATAGAATAGAATAGAATAGAATAGAATAGAATAGAATAGAATAGAATGAAGGTAGAGTAAAAATAGAATAGAATAGAAATTAGAATAGAAAACTAGAATAGAAGAGAAAATAGAACAGAACAGAACAAAAAAGAGAATAGAATAGAATAAAAAATAGAACAGAATAGAATAGAAGAGAAGAGAATAGAAGAGAAGAGAATAGAAAATAGAACAGAGAATAGAATAGAATAGAATAGAATGAAGGTAGAGTAAAAATAGAATAGAATAGAATAGAATAGAATAGAATAGAATAGAAATTAGAAGAGAAAATTAGAAGAGAAAATAGAACAGAACAGAACAGAAAAGAGAATAGAATAGAATAAAAAATAGAACAGAGAATAGAATAGAATAGAAAATAGAATAGAACAGAAGAGAGAATAGAATAGAATAGAAAATAGAACAGAGAATAGAATAGAATAAAATAAAAAATAGAATAGAATAGAAAATAGAATAGAATAGAATAGAATAGAATAGAATAGAATAGAATAGAATAGAATAGAACAAGATGCAGTAGAATAGAATAGAATAGAGCTGGAAGGGACCTTGGAGGTCTTCTAGTCCAGCCCCCGGCTCAAGCAGGAGAACCATCTCAGACAAGTGACGGATGAGGATCAAGGGGACCAGGGACTGGCCCTTCATCAGAGAGAAATCTGGGCCAGTCCTGGTTAGAAGCTGGTGCAAATTGATATTTTTATGGATTTTTCTCACGCAAAGCATTTCCCCCCCACCCTTAATGCTTTTGCCTGCCAGATGTTGGCTTGGGGGGGGGCTCCGTCAAGATGCTGCAGGGGTCACCCCTAAATGGTAGCTGGCAGGCTGGAGAAAAGAGCTGGCTGTGTTTTAATTCTTTTCCTCCCTTTTTGCTATTTTGGATGTCCACATCCTCGCGCCTCTGCCCACGAGGACTAGAAACTTGGAAAGAGCCGTAGCGGATTTTTTTTGCAGGCCAAGCTTCAGTGGGAGGCAAATATTTTCATTTTTTTTAAAAGTCCTTCCTTCTCTCACCAGTTGCCCCCCCCTTCTTGGGATGGCCAGAGGAATTGGGGTGGGGGCATCCAGCTTTGCCAAAACAGCACTAATCAGTGTGTGTGTGTTGGGGGGGGGGGTTGAGAATGAATTTTGTTAAATTAAAAAATAAAACGCACAACTGACTTTTCTGTTTTAGGATCAGCCAAGAACTGCCTGGTTTTTTTTCCCCTTTCTTTCCCCCCAAAATCAGGAAGTGACATTTTAGCCTTGGAAAATGTAGGTAAATAAGATTTTGATAAGGGGGAGGTGGCAAGGAGAAAGCTGGAAACACACACACACACATCCCCACACACATACACACCTTCTTTGCCATTGTGGGGAATGATGCAATTTGCATTCCCTGGAGCTCAGGGGCCACGGTAAAAGTCCCACGAGGCTCAGCGAGCACCTGCTGAGGACCATGGGACCTGGAGTTACACTGGGCAGAGTCCGGGTAGAGGAGTGGAGGGGGGGGGGAGAAGAGGAAGACAAACTGGGGAAGGCTATTTTGGAGACACCAAGAACGGGGGGGAGTGGGGGGGGAGAGAAATACGCCTCACCCTACAACACGGCCCCTGCTCATGAGGACTGGAAACTTGGAAACGCCCATCGCAAATTCCTTGGCAAGGTTCAAGAGCCGGTTGCTCCTTTTCATCCCTCTTTCCTAACTCTGTTTTCTGCTGGGGGGGTGGCTTCTGTCCCCCTCCCCAGCCTGGCCAGGGCAAGGCCCCCCTCCCCAAAACCGGGAAGGACCTCGGAAGAAAGAGCCCAAGTATCTGGCTCCAGATGAGGTCATTCCTTCCACGAAGACAAACTCAGCTTTTGACACCCCCGCGGCCGTCGCCCACAACTGGGGTGGGGGGGCACCCTGGAGAATTTGGCAACCTTTGGCCCGGCGGTCCCATGTTTCACAGCAGCCCTTTGTTCTCTCCGGCCCAGCTGGTGCCAGGGGGTGGGAGAGGGACTCTTGGGAAGCGCCCTCCAGCGAGGCACAGCCGTCCTTTCGAGGGCACCCCCAGCCCCGACTGCCCCCAGTTCCATCCTGAAGGATGTTCCTCTCCTTCCTGTCTAGAAAAATAGGGGCTGGCGGGCAAGCAGCCCCCCACTCAAGGGCCTGAGGGCCTAGGGCACCCCGTCGGGCAAGGGCGGCCTTGGGGCTCTCCACGCCCCACAGCTGTGAAAGCTTTCGTCGGGGGTCCTTCGGCGCTGAGGGGTGGCATCTTGCCAAGGCCAAGGCGGGCATGGAGAAGACAAAGCGACACCCCCGGGAACAGCAAGGTCAGCCCTGCAGGGCTGCCCAGCCAAGGGGTGGGATGACTCTCACTCCCCCCCCCCCAGGGCAGAAGGCCTGTCAATCGACATCTTTGTTCTCCTGCCAAAGCTCTGAGCGTCTGGCGGAGGGCACTGCTCAGATTTTCCTCTGGCACCGTGCCAGCCTCCCCCCCCCCACTTGGTGGACAGGTCACCCGAAGTCAAACTCAGCTTGCTGCCCTGGATGCTTGTTTGCCATCAAAGGCAAGCCCGGGAAGGGACAGGAAACCCTTTTGCAAAAAAACAAAACAAACGCCAAAGGTTTCCAACATACACGCAAACCGCACATTGGTGGTGTCTTGTCTGCAACCGTCAGGCCTCCCTCTTCCATCCTGACAGAGGCTGGAAGCGAGGGGGTGGTGGTGAAAGACACACACACCCCCATTCCAGAGGGGTCCTCAGCCCCTCTGCGTAGCCTCTGCGCTAGCGCAACACCCACTATCCTGGTTTATCCAAGACCTCCCCCCAACTGCTGGATTCACACAACGTGGAAGCCAAGAGAAGACCGCCGGATCAGGATGGTGTGGCCGTAAACCACGATTCAAGAACTGGATTACGGATAATCTTCCAATTACAAGAGTTCATTGAGTGACACTCCGAGGTTACGACAGCCCTGACAAGGGACTTATGACCGATTTTCCACACTGACGACCGTTGCAGCCTCCCCTGATCCAAATTTGAACATTTGGCAATTGACTCCTCTTTATGACGGTGTCACTGTCCCGGGATCACACGATCCCTTTTTATCCACTTTCTGACAAGCAAACTCAACAGGGGAAAGCCAGATTCGTTAACAACGGGGTGACTAATTTAGCAATTGCAGCTTAATCACCGTGGCAAGCAAAGTTGTAAAAAATGGGGCAAAATTAGGAGCAAATGTCTCATAGCCACAACAATATTTGGACTACCTGTGTACTTAGAAAGCCAGCTGCTAGGTATTTCCCCAAAGCCACCAGCCTACAAAATTCTAATGAAGGCAGGACAAAAAGCAAGGGATGGAGACTCATCAAGGAGAGAAGCAACCTAGAACTAAGGAGAAACTTCCTGACAGCGAGAACAATTGACCAGTGGAACTACCTGCCTCCAGAAGCGGCGAATGCTCCAACACTGGCAGTTTTTAAGAGACTGGACAGCCATTTGTCCGAAATGGTGTAGGGTTTCCTGCCTGAGCAGGGGGTTGGACTCGATGACCTCCAAGGTCCCTTCCAACTACTACTACTACTACTACTACTACTACTACTACTACTACTACTACTACTACTACTACTACTACTACTTCTTCTTCTTCTTCTTCTTCTTCTTCTTCTTCTTCTTCTTCTTCTTCTTCTTCTTCTTCTTCTTCTTCTTCTTCTTCTTCTCCTTCTCCTTCTCCTTCTTCTTTTAAACGTGTGCTTGCATTTTTCTGCAGCCATTAGGGCAAAGCAGACATTAAACTGAGGTTTGATCCTTCTATCACCAGGGGAATCTGCGCAACAAAAGCTGCAGACATGGTAAGGATTGCACAAAAGGAAGAAGCGGTGGGGAGAGAAGAGGAAATTGCCAAAGGGGTGGGGGGCAAAATAGCCCAGAAACAAAAACTTTGAAGAGAAGTTTCTGCTTTTTTTTTTTCTCTCTCTCAAGCCAACCCATTCCTTGAGGTCCAGCCCCACGGTCTAATTTTGTGCTGTTGTTTATTGTAAGCTCTGCATTGTGTACGCTGGGTGCTCCTTTCTCTTGAATTCTTCCAAAATAATGTTGACACTGGTCCTTCTCTCTCTCTTCTTTTTTTGGGTTGTTTTTTTTTCTCCAACCACATGTTGACAAACTGCAATTTTCAACTCCGGGAGCCACAAAAGGCCAGCGGAGACAGGAGGGAAGGGGGGAATGGAGGAAGACAAACATCTGCGGACAGACAGCGGTTTGAATCCCAGCCTGATCTGGGCTCATGGATGGACTCTGGGGACAGGAGGGCAAGTCAATCTGGGGACAAAAATGAGACTTTTTGGTTCTGGAGAAAACCCCCGATTTTCCCAGGAGAGAATAATAAAGAAAAAAGAGAGCTGGTGGTAGATTTTCCCAGTCTGCACATCTTTCCAACCTCTGAGTCCCAAAGGGTGTTTTTTTCCCACGGTTCTGATTCAAACTTCTCCCCGCTGAGTTCAGACGAGAATTAAAATTGAAATTCTTTTATTCAATTTCAAACGCGGAGCAGAGAAATCAACACACCTCAGTTTTTGTTCTTCAAAATCAGCCAGAAGAAAATAAAGTGTGTTTTCCAGCAGTTGTGTGCTTTGGTCTTTTGCAACGCAACAGGCTTCTCGTGGAGAGGCTGGGTGGAGGAAAACAGCCCAAGGGGCTGCGTGTTACATACATGTAACGGTGCGCTCTCTGCTTCCGTGGCGGGGGCTAACCTCATCCCCGCCAATGGCATACGGGCCTCAGTTTCTCTGGAAGAAACGTGCAATTCCGCGTGCAATTCCCGAGCATCTATTTCCAGCATCCGGTGACAAAAACTGTTATTTATGGAAGTTTATTTCCCTTGAGGAATTGACCTTCCGTGCCACGGAACAACCTCAATTATGGCGGGGAAAGAAACAGAAATTTATTCCTATCAAACCTGCTATTTTTTTTGGGGGGGGTGTGGCAGATTCAAGGACTACCCTTAGACTTAGACATTGTTCATTGCTGCTTCAACGTCCCATTCTCTACTATTACAATTTAGGATATCTCACAGGTATTCTGAATTTAGAAACGCTTGTGTCGGGGGAAAAAAACACCAAAAAGGTATTTTATTTTATTTTTCACATTGAAACACACCTTCTGCAGCATAATTACGTCGGCTTGTCGAGAGGCTCAGAGTAAATTCTCTTGGAGGAAGACCTACAAAAGAGTTTTCTGGCCATTTGGCAAAGCACAAAACCCCGCAATTTGTTTTGTTCTCCTTTCTAAGGCCACCGGGCTTTGTCACCTGGGGCCAAGTGAGAAATGTTACTACTCCATCACTCTCCAGTGAGGGGGGGGGGGGTCTTGGTCAAGATGCAACATCAGCCCTGGGGCTAAGCAAAGACCCTCTCCAACCTGTGGGAAGAATCCAGAGAAAGAAATATTTGGGGAAATACTAAAAAGGCAGAATATATTTCCCCCAAGATTTTAAAGGCAGAAACCAACAACCCCCCCCCCCAAAAGTCTCTCTGCCCCAAACAGAAACCGGGTCTGCAGAAATGCCATAATCGAAATATATTCTGCCTTTTTAATATTTCCCCAAAATATTTCTTTCTCTGGATTCTTCCCACCAACCCTAACCCTTACCTCATTCGGTAACAAAATGTTCAGGAATGTTAAAGAAGAGAAGGACAAGGGGGGACATGATAGCAGGGTTCCAATCTCTCAGGGGCTACCCCAAAGAAGAGGGAGTCAAGCTATTCTCCAAAGCACCTGAAGGCAGGACAAGAAGCAACGGATGGAAACTGATCAAGGAGACAAGCAACCTGGAACTAAGGAGAAACTTCCTGACAGTTAGAACAATTAACCAGTGGAACCACCTGCCTCCAGATGGGGCGAATGCTCCAACACTGGAAGTTTTTAAGAAGAGACTGGACAGCCATTTGTCTGAAATGGTGTAGGGTTTCCTTCCTGAGCAGGGGGTTGGACTCGATGACCTCCAAGGTCCCTTCCAACTTTATTATTATTATTAATTATATTAAAATAAGCTCGGAGAACAAACCACAGCCAAAATCTAAAACCTCGGGCTACAAATATTCCCTTATTATTTCTCCCTTTGTCCTCTTTCCTCCAAATCACGCAGGAAATCGGGGTGCACCAGGGACCGGTGGAAAATTTTCAAAGATGGAAGAAGCGGGTGTTAGAAACGTGATTAAAACGCTGAACAAAATTGGATTGGTTAAGAAAAGGGTTTATTCTGCTGAAAACAGAAAAAAAGCAGTTTGCAAAGTGTGGTGAATCTCTGAAACTTTGACAGGGATTTCTGAAACAGAGACCACACTCAAACTGTCAAATCCACAGCATTATGTATACTCCTATCGCCACACCCCCCCTCCTCTTCGGTCCCATTTGAAAGGACCTCAGAGGGCACAATCTTGCAACCAAATGGGTCAAGCGCTTCCTTTGCTGGCGCTGACCAAATAAAGCCTGGTGGCCTTTTGTCCCGAATGCAAACAGAATTCTCCTGCCAATTTTCCTGGGCCAAACTGGCGTCTCTCTCTCTCTCTCCAGGCGTGGCTGCCTTCAATCACTCCCGTGTTATCAACTCTCTTGATTTAAAAGTCCGGCTGCCCCGTTAAGATGTGGCTTAAGAAGAGATATTTCACCAAAGGCAAAATTCTCCACGGAGGCAACAACGTGGTCCACGAGGGGATGTTTCATCCCGCTACAAAGAGCTGTAGAAGAATGTTTTTTTTTTCCCCCAAACATTAAAATACCCAACACTTGAATTACTAACAAACATAGAACCGTCGATCAACGTCATTCGGGAATGTAGAATAGTTAACTTGCTGGATTGCTTTCTGGTAAACAAACTTCCTTATTTTTCCTTCTTTTTTCCACATAAACAAAAGAGGGAAGTCACACGTTCCTTCCTTTCAGAAAGAGACCTATTTTTTTTCCGGTTCTCCGGGGACAAACGGACACATCTACTATCAAGGTTGGCTCGGATTGTCTTCGGTTGGTTACCCCAATCCTCTTCTTGATCTTTGAAACAGACTTCTTGGGCATAGCGAGCGGGTCTTCTGGTGGAGCAAACCTCTTGAGACCTTCTGAGGACCAACTCTTTCCGTTGTATCCTTAATGTTTCAAGGGTTTCCCGGAGGATGTGTTCATCAGGGTAATAACGAAACCGATCCGAATGAAGGTAGAGTTTTTCTCCTGCCAGGCGTTCCTCCTTGTAGGACCTCAACGTCTTGAAATCTTCGTAGACTTCCTTGATGGCCTCCTCCAATTTGAGGAGGTTGAAGTGGCCTTTTTGGTCTTGGACACTTGCCCAAACCACTGTGGCCTCAATGCTCTTCTTCCTGGACCAGCTCTCTGCGACTTCTGTAAGCTGCAATCGTCCGTTTCGGCTCAACCATCTTCCGCACACTTCCATGTTTCCAAATTCTCCAGGAATTTCTCTCGAGTTTTCAGGGGATGGGCGGAAATTAGCCATCCTGCCTGTGCCTGGTGGAAGGAAGAGTGGGGTGGTTGAAAACAGGAGGCTCATTCTGCACCCACCGGACAAGAGTGTCCCCCAATAATTTTACTTATTAACGATCACAGTTGCAGGGCTGCCCAACTCTGAGTGAGTCTGAAGTGTGTGTGTGGAAGGTTCTGCCAAAAGCAACCCATTTTTAAGAAGCAGGTAAGGACAAACCAGGATAAAAATGAGGGCCACTGAAAAAGCCTAACCACCTAGAACTAAGGAGAAACTTCCTGACAGTGAGAACGATTCATTAGTGGAACAGCCTGCCTCCAGAAGCGGTGAATGCTCCAACACTGGAAATTTTTAAGAAGAGACTGGGCAGCCATTTGTTCGAAATGGTATAGGGTTCCTGCCTGAGCAGGGGGTTGGACTAGATGACCTCCAAGGTCCCTTCCAACTTTATTGTTGTTGTTATTATTAAGTTTGCATACTGCCTTGCACCCTTAACTATCCAAATGACGGTCGGTGCGTTTGGACTACCTTCTTACGTGACCAGCAATGGAAATCAAGGTTTGCATTAGCCAAGTTTCGCAGGCCGCGTGCTAAATTCGGGATCTGACCTGATTTAAGAGCGTCGTCTGAAGAGCACCGGAGCCAACAAGGGCTGCAATATCCAAGCCTGGCGTGGGAATTTGCAAAGCGCTTTAGCTTGCAAGAGGCGCCTGAAAGACGTGGCCTGACTGCCATCTAGTGGCGGCAAGGAGCTTCGCAGCCCAGAAAGAGAAAATTGATCACAATGAACCATGATGAAACCTTGATTAGAGATAATGAAGGGGAGAGAAATCAGGAGGGGAGAAGCGGGTGGGTATCAAGAAGAGGAGCCTAAAAAAGACAATTCAAGCCACCGCAGAGAAGAAAGTCGAAATGAGGGATTGGGGGGGGGGGAACGGTTTGCAAATATATTGTTGCTTTTCAACCCAAATCTGTTTCCCAGTGTTTCTAAGGGGTCTTTTTTTTGTTGCTTTAAAACCCAACTTCTTTCATATATTGCATTCAATAGGTAAACATAATTTGGTTTAAAACTGGCTTATGGTGCTTCTGTTCTTTGGGGGTTTGGGATGCAATCTGGGTTTAGTTGCGCGCGACATGTTGATTTCTTAGCACACCCTGCGGCCCACCTTGCTCTCCTCGTCCCGTAGCACGCTGCCCTGGGTGGATCTGGCAAACCACGGCTTCGCCAAATTAATCTCGGTTTCTCCAGCAAGCCCTAAACTGGTTTCAGGTCTGCAAGCTGGAGGCAAGGGGGGGGGGGGCAGAGAAGACGCGCCTGTTCTGCAAGCGGGCCGCCGCGTCGCCAGAGGGCGCTGCTGAGTTCGCGCTGGCCGCGCTCGCGGATGACGACATCGAGCGGCGCCTCAGCGCGGGAGAGAGGGGGCGAGCCCGTTGCCACGGCAACCGCGGCAGGGCGGCCTACACAACCGGGGGGGTTTTGCCTCGTTTTGCCCCCGCCGGGATGTTCGGGGACGCGGCGGGCGGCGCCCTGGACGTGGAGTCGGTGTGGAGGACGGACCAAGGGGCCCGATGCGAGGAGGTGGGGGGCGCCGCTCTGCCCTGCGGGGCGCGGGACTACAGGTCCCATCCTCCCCAGCCGCGCCCCCCCCCGTGAGCGGTGGGGGAGGGCGCTGCTCCGACCCTTCCCCGGCTGGGCCCTGCGCGCGGGGGGGGGGTGGAGGCGGCGATCGCCCGTCCCCTTCCTTTTGGGAGAGGGGACTACAAGTCCCATAGTGCGTAGCGGCGCAGGGCGGGAGGGGGCGCCTCCCTTTGGTACGGCAGCCTTTTGCATTGCAAAGGGCAGGAGGCGATCCTTCCCGTCGGCTTGCCTGGGCTGTGGATGATGGGCTGTGGTGCCATGCCAGCACAAGGGAAGGGATCTGAGCAGTCAATGGGTCTTATAGGGAGGATAACTGGCGATCCTCCGTTGGGGCTGTGGATGATGGGTTTCTGTTTGGAATGGGCATCCTGATTGGGGGCTGTGGATGATGGGGCTTCTATTTGAAATGGTCGCCTTCCGTAGGGGCTTTGGTGGATGGGGCTTCTGTTTGAAATGGCCAGCCTCCTTCGGGGCTGTGGATGATGGGGCTTCTGTGTGAAACGGGGGGGGGGCCTACGGTTGATGGGGTTTCTATTTGGGAACAGCCATTCTTTCTGGAGCTGGGGATGATGGGGCTTCCATTTGGAGCGGCCAGCCTCCATGATGGGGCTTCTATTTGGGATGGCCCTCCTCGCCGGGGGCCGTGGACGATGGGTCTTGCCTCCAGAGCTCCCCGCCCTCTTCCTTCCCGCAGAAGAGCACGCAGACCGTCCGCGTCCGCACGGCTGAACGGCGGGCCCAGACCCGCCACTGCCACGAGGTGGGCGTCCAGGCGGACCCCGAGGCCAGCCCGGCCCAGGCCCTACCCCTCCCGCCGCCTCCCCCGGTGGACTACGCCAGCCTGCGGGCCTTCCTGCAGCGGGTGGAGGAGCCGGTCATCCGCGAGCTGGACAAGAATTGGAAGAGCCACGCCTTCGACGGGTTCCAGGTCAACTGGGCGGACCCCAACGAGACGGTAACGGCCCCTCCAGAACCGCTGGCTTAGGGGGGCTCCCCCCATCCGTCTTCTGCAAAGAGCCGGGAAGGGATCGGGCAGGATCCGCTCCCCAGGCCAAGGGGCCAAAGTCTTTCCCAGTTCACTTAGCGACCGTTTGAAGTTACGACGGGCCTGAGAAAAGGGATTTAGGAGCAATTTTCACACTTGGGACTGTGGCAGTATCCCCAGAGTCGCGTGATTTACATTCGGATGCTTGACAACTGATTCACACTTACGACGGTCGCAGTCTCCCGGGGGAGTCAGGCGATCCCCTTTGGCAACCTCTTGGCAAGCGAAGTCAATGGGGAAGCCGGATTCACTTAGCGACCGTGTGACTAACTTAACGTCCGTAGTGATTCACTTAACAAACGTGGCGAGAAAAGTCGCAAGAAAAGGGGCAAATCTCACTTCGCAAATGTCCCACTTTAGCAACTTAAATCTTGGGCTCGGTTGTGGTCGGAAGTCGAGGACTCCCTGTAATGTCCAGAAGTGGCTCAGCCGACCCTTCCCTGCTTCATGTGCGCATGGGGGGGGGGGATGCAGAAGCTCCAACACAACCAGACTTGTGAGGGGCTGTTATTGCCGCCCATCTTGGCTTTCCGGTGGGACGGATGTCCTGGCCTGGTCCATCTCGCCACGAAATCTGCAGGGGCGGCTCCTCTGCCAGGCCCCCTTACCCCCCCCCTCTTCTCCCTTGCAGGTGTCTTGTGTACACAGCTTGTTGTACCCGGAAGCCCAGGAGCGCAACCTGCAGGTGACCGGCGTCTCCTGGAACGCCACGGGCTCCGTCCTCGCCTGCTCCTACGGCAGGTAAGCCAAAAGAGATGGTAGTCACCCTCTCCTCACGATTCGTATCTATGTCCCTCTCCCAGTTGTCCCTCTGACGGCTGTCTCCCTCCCTCCCTCTCTCTATTACTTTTTTCTTTTTCTTTATTTTTCCTTTCTTTCTTTCTTTTTCTTTCTTTCTTTCTTTCTTTCTTTCTTTCTTTCTTTCTTTCTTTCTTTCTTTCTTTCTCTCTTTCTTTCCCTCCCCTCCTTCCCTCTTTCCTTCTCTCTCTCTTTTTCTTTTTTTCTCTCTCCCTCCCTCTCTTCCTTTTCTCCCTCTTCTCTTTCTTCCAGGCTGGATGACGGAGACTGGAGCGCTGAGAAATCCTTCCTCTGCACCTGGAATCTCGACCGCCGAGCGCTGAATCCCCACCGCCCGGACCTCGTGGTGGAGACCACCAGCGCCGTCCTGTGCCTGGCTTTCCACCCCCAGCAGCCTTCGCTCGTCGCCGGCAAGTACTTCTTGAGGGACTTCCTCTTGGGCCCGGACAGGAAGGGGACTAGGGTTGACCGGGGCACCCGATTCCTCAAACTTCCGGCCAGCGTCTCAATTCTACCTCCTCAGGAGGCCTGTTCAGCGGAGAGGTCCTAATTTGGGACACCGGCAGGCAGGAAGACCCCCTGGTCTGGAGAACGGGCATGACCGACGATACTCACACCGACCCCGTGTATCAGGTACGGGAGGGGGGCAGGGCTGCGGTCCGGCTCCCTTGTGACTTCCTGAGCTCTCCGATTGCTCTTCTGGCCCTCAGGTCAGCTGGCACCGGGACCCTCGTCAGCCGCGCACCTTCCGCGTCCTGAGCCTCTCCACCGACGGGAAGATCCTCGTGTGGCAGGAAGAGAGAGACGGCCTCCTCCGCCCCGTCAGCGGTTTCGCTTTCGTCCAGCAGCAGAGTCCCAGGAGCACCAAGCTCAAGAAGGTAGGGGGGCAGGATCCCGACGGAGAGAAGCTCCACAGCCTTGTGCAGTCCACCGAAAAGCATCTGACGTCACCCGCGAAGCGTTGGGAAGACACGTTTGCGGTCCTAGGCGAGGCCGGCTGGTCGCTTGGATTTGGGAGGATGTTCATCCGAGGCTGTTCCTCACGCAGAACGGAGTCTTGCGGGGAGGGATGTGTATTTTAAGCGGATCCTAAGATCACAATTGTTATCTTTTGTTATCTTTTAAGCCCTTTGCAGACACATCGGTACGTTGTGGGAACGGCCAAATTCTTATGACAGCCAAGCGAGCGTGGCAGGACCGGGAAGGGCCCAATCCCCTGTGATTTCCCCAGTGTCTTAATTATCAGTGTTGTGTTTTTGCTGCAGTGATGCACAGACTTTTTTTTGCCTCCCTCTTTGCTCCTCTCCCCCCAGCATTCTCGAGGAGACACAGTGGTGGGCGTCACGTCCCTCTCCTTCTCCCACTTCGAGCCCAGCGTCTTCGTCAGCGGCACGGAGGGGGGCAGTTTGATGAAATGCTCCACGGCGGTGGATACAGCCGCCCTCTTGCGGAAGGCCAGCTCGGTCCCTCTCAAGGCCCCTGCCCAGTTCAGCTTCTCCTCCCACGGAGGACCCATCTACAGCGTCAGCTGCTCACCTTTCCACAGGTAAGGCCATCCCGAAATCTTCCAGAAAGATTTTCCAAGAACCGACACAATATTGCAACCTTGGGTGCGTTTCTGCCTGCCTGCCATCTCAGTATGGCGGCTTGTAAGCCGGGGATTATAATTTACCGTGTCGTAGTACTCCAGGCAAACGTGGTTTAGAGCAGCAGGTAGCCCTGCTTGGGCTTTTTCTGTCCTTCCTTTCCAGCGGAAAGGGAAAAAATTAAACCTGCTTCTACAGGTGTCTTCTTGAGTGAAGGGGAAGGATACACGTGTCTTAAGAGTAACAACAAACCTGGATTTGAAGCATAGCCATGGGACAAGATTCCTCTGGCTTCAAGACAGTTTGGTCTGCGATTCTGGGCCATGAAAACTTTTTGTCAGTTTCATTTTAGTTTTTAATGCGCAACGGTGACTAGAGAGACGCCTTATGAATTACGGGTGCTTGTAGACTACGGTGAATTCCAGGCGAGGGGTAAATGGAGCCGGCTGTAAATTAGAATAACAAGAGTTGGAAGGGTCCTCGTAGGTCATCTAGCCCAACCCCCTTCAAGCAGGAGACTCTGCACCATTTCTGACAGATGGCAGTCCAGTTCTTTTCTTGAAAGCTCCCACAACTTCTGAATGCTACTCTCTCCTCGGATTTTGGATTTGCTAATCTAAAGCTGCTTTCCCCCCCCGTTTTTCCTTTCCCAAGGAATCTGTTCCTGAGCGGAGGGACCGACGGACACGTTCATTTACACTCCATGCTGCAAGCGCGCCCGCTGCTTTCTCTCCAGTTGTCCAAGAAATACATTTTCAGCGTCAGGTGGTCCCCGGTCCGGCCCCTGGTTTTCGCAGCTGCTTCGGGGGAAGGTA